CACACACACACACAGATTTCCTGAGACTGCTCCATCTTGGTGTGCAGCCAGGGAGTGACCCAGGGAGAAGGTGCACCTGTTAGTGTTTACTGTTATCCACCGCAATATGTCAACAACCGGAGGATTTAGCACTGCGCATTGCTGTTTCTAACACATTGATCTTGTCATTTATAACTAAAAATTGAAGCATATGCACCCTCGTTTATAGCTCTCCTTCACAGCTCTACTACATTCCTCAAATCCCTCTTTGCTTCAGGGCTTATCTCAACTTGCCCACCACTAGCATGGAGCTATCAGCTTAGGTTTTGCCAGACTCAACACAAGGCAGCGGACATGTGTTTGTGGTCAGAAGACGTCTGGTTCCAGACGTCTGAGTCGCTGCCGACATCTAACAGTTTAAGCAAATCAAAGAGGCCTGGAGTTGCTCTTGCAAATGGCTGCCTCTTCATTTAGAGAGACAACCGAGCCAATCAGAGCCTTTCTGGTGACATCCGCTGTGCTCCCCGGCAGCTGGTGTGCTGCTTGTAACATAGTAGCAAGGGCGTGGAAAACCGCCTAAATGAAGCGCAGGAGACATATGAGGTGGCAGGTACAATGTTCCCTATCAGCTAATAATAAAACAGTGGAGATGCTTTGGTAAACTTTAATCTTTTCAAAGCTTTTGAGTGCTGGCAGTACAGTACAGTAAAACGTGTGTTTATTAGTCTGTATTATTAATGTCGGTACACATGTATGCTTTACGTGCACTGATTCAGGTCAGCACAAGTGTGATGTGCTGTTTTGTATAGAGAATTAATAGAGCACAAACCCGCACTGTGACAGTCAGATTTTAAGTGCACTCATTTTTAGTGCTGTGTTGGATGTTGCATTCATGTTGATCATGTCTACCAATGTACTAAAAGAAAGTGGATTTTAACAACCTACTGACACGTTAGCAACTTCACAAGTGGACATGATGTGGTAGCTCACAGCTCCTACACTTTGTCATGACTTAATCCACTTCAGCGCTGAGCATAGGATGTAGTGTTCTCGACTTCCCACATAGAAAACACAAGCTCACGAGTTGTATTAAAGTTGAAACAAAATAGCAGTTTGAATATCAGGACAAACGTTGTCTGCACTCACTTTGACCAACAACAGTTCTTGACTCTCCTATCCTCTCCTTTGTTATGTACCACATACCAAGACAAATGAACAAATGAAATTCCTTGTATGTGAAAACCTACTTGGCAATAAATTCTGATTCTGATTCTTTAAGGATAAATAGATAGAATTACAGTACCTGTTTAATGATCGACTTCAGCCTGGCCATAGCAATGACAGTGACCCACACTGACATGAGCGACCCGAGGAAGTCACAGAACTGCAGGACGTCATACTCCATGATGCAAAAGACCACAATACCCGGCTGGTCACATGCATGGTAGAACTGTCAGAAGAGAGGGGGAAGGCAGTGGTTAGACCAACAAGCATATGTGTCAGGAAAAAAAACAGATTTACCGAAATTAAACGTATTTCTTCTACCAGAAAGAATTTACTGATTGCTAGTAGATGGGTGCAGGGTGAGCTAACATATGCCACATTGTTTTAACAACATGAATGTGGTCTCCCTGTTGGCGTAGTCCTGTCCAATGATAACTCTTTCCTGGTTTGGTCTGGTTTTCGTAAGTGTAGCCACCTCTATCACAACCTGATTTTGTATCTCTTAACAAGTTTAAAGGCAGGATTTCAAAATTCAAGCAGGTTAACATGTCAGCAACAATTTTGTCATTTGTCATTGAGAGTAAAAATACTCAAGGTTCATTCACGGTTTAAAGCAATTTACCAGGAATGTGCGCTTGCAAGTATTGATTGGCCAACACAGCGCCTTGCTGGCTGTCGTGTTGAAGCAAGATATGAGCCTGGTTCAACTTGGCAGACCCCCCTGCTTTGGCACCCCCCGCTGCACAGTTGGAATGCCCCCATTCATTTTTTTTTACCAGCCTTACAAATGTGTGGAGTGCACATTCTTCCTCATTAAACATTAGCAAAGCCAATTTATTTAATATTTAAGATTTGTTCAGTGTTTGTGTTCATCTAGCTTACAGTCATCTTCTCCCTTGCCTCTATTGGCGTGTTGCTATGCTTCTTTGCGCGTTACGGCTGCCATCATTGGAATAGCTTGCTCATGTTAATGTGCGTCCTTGTGCACACAATACACACACACAATACAAACAAAACATGTTTCTATGTGTGCTCCATAGCATGACTGTTGGTCAAAAACTCCACTGTTTACCTTTAACTTGGCAACTTGCAATCATAAAAAAAGCAGCTATGCTTATCATGATCAGCATATTCCTTTTTATTACAGTACATAGAACATTGTAGTTCACTTCAGCTGAAGATGAAGCAGCTTTACAATTGTTTGTGCTGGTATCAGACCCAAAAATATTTTATAGGTCAACTCTGTTGTTTTAGAGAACAAACACCACTTTGTTTGCGCGACAGTCACTCACAGTGGAGAAAAACATGGTGAAGATGTAAACTGAAGCCTCCAGCAGGTAGTGGCTTCGGATGGCAATGGCCACAGGAGGGACGAACATCAGGTTACTGAGACAGAGCAGCAGGGTGGAGAGGAGCTGGAAACTGTAGGAGTACGCCTCCGAGTTGTCTGTGCATCCCCAGCCCTCCCAGCCTAACACACACAAAGACACACACGCCACACACACACAGTCAGTGCTGTACTGTATGTTGATCTAAGAAAGTAGAGATCTAAGAAAGTAGAAAGCTTCTGTGTTTGCAGCCTTTATAGTTCATAAAAAAGCTAAAGTTAAAGCAGGTTCCGTCTTCCTCAAACTCTAAACAACCTTTAGTAAAGTCTTCAATTTTTTTTTCTGAATGGATGAAAAGAAACTCTACTGTAGATGAATCATTGTATTTCAAGCCTCATCCCTACAGTATATCTTAAAATGGATAAAATATTTACTGTGTCTCTCTGACAAGATGAATGCTTCATCAACCCTGTCTTACAAACACACTTCTCTGTAAAAAATAATCTAAAACAGATACGTGTGAAGGTGTTTATCCTGCACAATAGAGCCTCCTGGTGTGAACTTCTTCCAATGTTAAAACAACCCAGCTTTGCCACTTGAATTGGACTCTTATCAAGTGGTGGATTGGATAAAACAGTGTGAATTAAATATTTGTGAGCACTGTTGAACGGAGGGTTTGCAGTGTGAAGATGGGCCAAGGGCAAGTGCCGAATGCAAAGTGACTGCCAGGAAGCAGTCACACATATGAAGTATGACAATGAATTTAACTGAAGAGAAACCAGCTATGATAAAAGAAGATCAAAGGCAGGATTTACAAAAAGGCTCAGGGGACATGCTTTGTTTAGTTTCATAAGCTCATCTTTTATTGAAAAGCTGTTCGTAATTAAGAGCCTGTGTTATTGTCTTATCAACATGGCTTATATTAGAAGATTAACACCAGGCCGCTGTATGACTCATTGGACAGCGGCACATACAATTTAATCGCTGTGCTGTCAGTTCAGTTCTGGAAGACAACCTATGCCATCACACCTCTGGTCTCTCCCATTTCCATGTCACTCTGCATGATGTATTTTCCAACAAATTAGAAATTCTTTGCAGCAGTGATGACCCAATTCCCTCACAGAAAGTTTTATCTTATCTTGTATGCAAAAAAAAGCTTTTCATTGCTCAAAATCACTTCCAATTATTAATTCATTGTCATGCTTTTTGCTAATTATTAATGACTGATTAATAATAAAAGCATACAACATATTTATACAATTAATTCTCCAGTTCTATCAAACAACTTGCATGGTTTTGTTATTAATTGGCTTCCATGAATGGGCTTAGTGAATATGAATGCAATTTGAAAATAAAGTGGGCATAAATAGACCACCTAATCTGAATTTAGTTCACATTCACATTGTGTACAAATTCGAATCAACAAAGAGGGGAAAAGATCTCCATGTGAGCCTGAATACACTGAAAATGAAATGTGTTGCATTTTTTAAGCATGCATTGTTACCTGCTTTGCATTCACATGCAGCATAAAGGTAGTTGTTAGTGCGCAAAAGCTTGCATTGTCCGTACGTCCCACAGTCATTGATGCATGGAGTCAGGTATGAGCGCATATACACCTCGGCAGTGATGTTTGTGCAGGCCTCAAATCTGCAAAAGTCACAGACAAGACAGAACATTAGATGGAGGTGAGTATGAGGACCATCACTGCAGCACCACTAGTGAATTTAGGTACTTTGAAATGGATTTCAACTGACATATTCTGCTCTCAAGGTGAGCGTCGGTCTAAAGACAGCAATGTTGGCCTGTCAGTCAGTCTACCACTTTGGCCCACGCCTAAATACCTCAACAACTATTGGATGGATTGCCATTAAATTTGCTACACACATTTATGTCTCTATTAGGATAAACTGTAACTATGGTGATCCCTTCATGGTTCATCTACCACCATCATCATCATCATCATATCAAAATCTCCAATTTGTCCAGTACTTTGGTTTATGGCCAAATCTGGTAAAACTGATGGCATTCACATCAGCCTTAGCTGTACTTATATATGTATATGTATTTAGTTTTAATTAGCAAATTAATTAAGATACTGGCTTAATATGTTACCATAGTTATTGTGAGCATGTTATATGGCTGTAGGCTTAATCTTGTTTTATGTCCTCCAGCACTATCATCACCACAGCATGTTGGAGATCAAAAGGTCATTTTAATGTTAGACAGATGCCAGACTACTTTACTCTGTTGGGCTTGTGCAATCTCCAAATTCATAAAGCAATTACAAAAGTAATTTTCCACAAATTATGTCTGTGCTTTATAGACCAACAAGGAAGCTAGAGTTCTACGGTGATAGTTTAACCTTCATTTGGTATCTCAATTAGGTACCCCACCAGGAATTTTCCACTTATAATCAGAAAGAATTTCTAACTTCTCATGTCACAATCTCCTTTTTAGTATTTCAGCCTGATGGTTGTTGTTATGCAGCTGTTTCGTAGCATGCAAACTAACAACTCAACATATTGATAATTTGTTTATCTCTGACACTACATGGGATAAAAAGAAAAAGCCTTGTATATCTGTGTTTGCATTTTATCTTTATAATTGATAGCTTATACAATCAGTCAAAAAGAATGAACCTCCAGGAGGTAACAAATGTCTTTCTTCATCTTTTCCCAGAACCCATTTTTTAATTGACACAGCCACTCACTTCTTTATTTTTAAATTATATCAGTCAACTTAATTGTAGCCTTGAAGAGGACCTATCATTCACACTACCTATTTTATTCTCTAACAAGACCTGATTGATTTAGCATGTGGAAATGTGTGGAAATCTAAGACATAGTTATGTCAATTTTTTTCACATTTTCATACCTCAGCAGGGCTCTGATGTGAGGATGAGACACTGTCCCACACCATCTGTTATTATTTGTTATTCAAATTCAATTGGAACTCCCAAGTGTCCTGCAAAAATCTGCTTAATTTCATTCTGTTCACATTTTTGTGCCATTAAGGGTTCTGCAAAACAGCTTAATCTGCTGAATAGCTAATACTTAAGAACTTGTGAAAAACATTGCCTTGGACAATTTAATGAAAACATTTTCCACATGTTCTATTTCCAACATTCTCCACAATGACTTTAAACAACCCTCAGAGAAAGAGTGTGTACTTATTGCATTCATCTGTGGATTGAACTCTACACCAAGGTAGAGAGAACAATAGAGATCACACGATATTTTCTATTCAAGAAAAGATAAGAACTGCGCCCTTTATAGAAAATCCCAAGATGTCTTGAAGGTGCAATGCATTATGGTTTGCTTAGTATACTAAAGGTAAACAGTCTCTGCCTCTTTTAAACTAGATGCAGGAATTCAATATACCCTGCAGATTTAATGATGTTTCAGGGTGGATTTTCAATATTTCCCATTCCAGATAAGACATATTTAAACCATTTTGTTTAAATGGCCTAATATGCAAATGTTGAAATGTGAAAAATCTGCTTTTTAAACCTCAAAATCCAACCCTTTTCCATGTCATATGCTAGGTGTGCACCAGAAGCACATTTATGAAGCCAGTCCCAAATTAATCTGGTGGGTGACAGATGGGAGAGGATGTATTACGGAGGCTGAACCATTGAAACAGCGAGTCTTCATTACAGCAATGAATTATTAATTTTGGTAAATAAACCAGTGATTCTCATACGAAGATGAGTTTTTAAGAAGTATTGACTGTCCTATTTTGCAATTGTCTTCCTGTAATTGACAGCAAATATTGTCTCATAGAGGTTGCTTTGGGGCAGTGGGACCAAGCAGAAGAATTTTTTATGAGGCTTAAAAATGTATGAGCAACAGTCATTCAGTTCGTGTCAGGGAATTTCTGCTTGTAAATGTCTTGTTTTGGGGACTTTCTGAATTGACTACCCCAGAGCACACAATCTACACCACAGTTTTCATTTCAAAGGAATAGTTCTGTGGAAATACGCTCATTCTCTTTCTTGCCAACAGTTAAATGAGAAGTCTGAACAATACATATGAAGCTACCGCCATATGCTCCACCTACAAGCACCTCTAAAGCTCTCTAATTAACATTTTTTATGTTGTTTGTCTAATCTGTGTAGTGGAAATTAGTTGTTTTTACACTTTCATTTTGCATGGATTAACCTAACAAGAAATGGCAGCCAACCAGCAGGGACTCGAGGAAGTTACTGGTCCCAAACAGTCCAGTACTTAACCCCCCATACAACTTTGAATATACTTTTTTACACTTTTTTGTACGGATTCAACAAATTAGATATAATGTGTTGATCAGTGAGCTTGACAGGAGCTGTTAGGCAGATTCTTACCTTTGGACAGAGCTGGGCTAGCTGTTTCCCTCTGTTAAGTTAATCAGTTCCTCGTAGAAGCTTCATATTTAATGTACAGCCATGACAGTGTATCGATTTCTAAATAATGTCAAGAGAGTGAGTAAGCGTGTTCCAAAAAGTGTCATACTTTTCCGTAAGACATAAAAACGTTTTTTGCCAGCAGTTTTTTTAAAATTAATAATTAATGTAACTGAGTGAATTTTTCCAGCGAAGGAGAGTGGAAGCCTATGGGATAAATAATTATCTGTAGAAATACAGAAGCAGTATTGCCTGTCTTACCCATGTTCAGTGCCACATAGAGAGCGCAGACTGAGGTACCAGGTGCCTGTTTGTGGGTAGGGAATCCTCAATTTGGTAATATTAGCTGAAGCGTTCACAGAAAGGAAAAACCCAGCCACTGATTCTGTAACAGAAAAAAACAACGATAGAGGAGTAATATAGAGTTTAAAACTGATTTATTGCCTTTATTAATAGCCGAAGAGTGACAGGAAAGAAGGTAGAGAGGGGTGGGATAACACGCAGGAAAAGGGTTGCAGGTTGGAATCAATCCCGGGCTGCTGCAGCATGGACTCCAAAAGAGCTTTACATGTACACACAGAAAAAGCAATCACAAGAAAAAGTTACATTTTTGAAGAAAATTCAATTTACAGTTCCACTTCTGAAATGTTGTAGTCAAAACATTTGAAATTGTTGAAGTTGCAGTCAAAATACAAATACTAAAAGGAGTTTAAATGTCAGCCGTGTGTGATAAACTGAGCTTGAAGAGTCAGTTGAAGTGGAAGTCCTAAAAGATCAAGTGACAGTTCAAGTGATTGAAGTGAAAGATGATGTCTGTTGAAGTGTTGGTGGAAGTTTAAGCAAAACAGTTGGTGAACTGTGCATGAACGGTCAAAGTTTTGGGAGTCAGAAGAGCTGGAGAAGTGTTTCTGTTCAAAGGTGAAGACCTTAAAGAGCCTAACACTCATTCAGAAGGCAGTGATGGCTTTTGATCTAATTATGGATAATCAGGTTATCCATTTGGGGATCACAAAACATGTGGTTATTTTGTTAGAAGTTGAGTTTGACATACCTGATTCACATGTCAGTGACGAGTTTTCTCGTAAGAAAAGAGGCATCCCGTGGTTCAGGCAGCCAAACACTGTGACATTAGCTCCTTTCAGTGTAGTCTACAGGAGGAAACACAAGCAAACGTCATTCAACCATCCAACCATCAACCATCAACCATCTGTTGCCACCATGCTGGTGAGACAACACTGTTCATGATTACCTCAGGACTCATTCTCCCTTAGCTGGGAGATAGTAAACTTTAAAACTAACAAATCAAGTGAAACTGCTCTCCCTCTGTATGCCTGGGGCACCTAAATGAAGATGTTGGCAGTTTATCTCCTTAAAGCATCAATTATACATTAACACGCTTATGCATTAAAAAAAGAATCCTGGGGAATTATTCAAGCGCTGGGAACTGCATATGCTTACACAAATTGGCTCATTCTGCAGAGAGGTGAAAGGAGACCACTACAGTCCAATTTGGTGTATCAGTAAAAGAACAACGGAAGGGACAATAGCAGCAAGAAATTACTGCATGTGTTCATAAATCATCAGTGTGCAGCCAGGCATCAAATTTGACACTTTATAAGTTTCAAAAATTTCTTCTAATTTATTCAGTGTCTCTCTCTCTTTGTGGCACTAAAAAGGAGGTGCAGCAGAGCTTTGAAATGTTTTACAACTACTGTGAACAAAATGTGTCCAACAGAGTTACCAAACCTGAAACTGGCAGTCACAAACATTAAAAGTCATTCTTTTTCAAAGAGAAACTTTGCATGCATTTGCTTTGTATCCAGAGGGAAATGCGCTCGGCGGCAGGGATAACTTCAGGCTATTATTTCTTGAATAAATAAGATTTCTATCACCCCCCTAGCACAGAATGAGCATAGAGTATATGCATGGAATTGGTGAGGTTGTTGATTAATGCAATGACTCAACAAACACTTTGCCAGGTGCTGAGATTTCAGGCTTCCTAAACTCTCCATCTGGCATATACTCTTGGTAGTAAGACTTAATCACGCCCACTGGCATTTCAAGCTAGTCCCCTCCCTCCTCCTCCCACCTTTCGTCCCGACTCTGCCCTACACTTTGAAGATGGAGGAATGAGCGAGAAACACTCATGGATGGATTACCAGACGGGCCAACCAAACACAAGCCCAGGGGCCGCAAAGGGGTCAGGAGGTCCCCAAAGGCAGGCTCTTTACATGAAGTGACTCTTACCAACATTTCTAAGTAAGTTAAAGTAGACATGCTTTTAGTTAGGCATGACAATGTCAGTCTGTGGGTCCATCACTTTGGTCCACACTGAAATATCTTGACAACTACAAGGTGGACTGTTATGAAATTTACAGATATTCAAGATTCCTAGAGGATGAATTCTGATGATTTTAGGAATCCTCTGAGTTTTCCTCTAAAACCACCATCAGGTTTCACTTATTCTGTGTTATATCTTTATGTCTTTTTGATGGATTGGTGCAAGATTTTGCACAGACTGGTGGTTCCAAGACGATGTCTAATAATAACTTTACTGATCCTATGACTTATCTTATTGTTGTGACCATGCATTAATGAAATTATTACATTTATTACATAGATGAAGCCAGTCTACTGTCACTTCAAGGTTGATTCGGTCCCGCCACATGTTACCATCACCTTGTTTCAACAGGAAACATCAAATTAAGGAAGCAAGATGCTCTCAAGATGCAGATGATTATTTTGTGATATGTTTGATCCTTCTCAAATCTGTCATCTGAATCATTCATGTGCTGTAGAAACCAGGAAATTCCTTTGTCCTGTGTGTGGAGCTGAAATAAAGATTTTACTGATAACTTTGGAGGCTCAATCTGTCTTCCAGCTCCATCTCATATGATTTCCCCTGAAGCTGAATGCTGACTTGACCCTGCATCTTTGCTGTCCAGTAACTAGTGAGGTTTTTAATCACTTGGCATCACAGGGCATTATTGTTAATTTATGTTCAAGTTTTCTTGTGCTTGTCTGTTTTTTGTGGCCCATTTTAAATTCATGTCTGGAATTTTAATGTTAATTTTGTTTTGGGTTGTATTTATTGCTGTTACTTGTAAAGCACTTTGTAACATTGTTGTGAACATTGCTACATTAATCACATTTAATATTGTGATTTATATGCCTGATCCATTATGCAGCTGTTAGTTATGACTGTGGAACATGAGTGGCAGAGGCATAATTCAATCATGAGCACTATCTTCCAGCAATGCAATGCTCAAGGTTCCTGACTAAAGCGAACAACTTCTGAATAAACATCTTTTAAGTATTACTACAACAGGACATATACTTCAACTCTGATCATGCAGATAGAAAAACACTTTTGATGAATGCCAGTTTGTCACTGTTGTGTACTCATGTGGCTTTTGCTTTGCTAAATTTCCCCAGAGTTGTGCTGATGACAAGTGCCAGACAGGACACAAAGCCAACTGATGCAAGAGCATGGATGAAGCTGGCATGTGTACTTTATGCTGCACATCCCAATGCCCAAACTAATTAAATTAAACTCGATGATGTGTTTTAATTTTGCTCAATAAAATATTAAACTGTCTTGTGTTTTGATTTATATTGGACATTATTATTAAAAATAGAGGTTTTTAAAGAATCTCACTGCTTAGCAACAGCAAACACAAATAGATATATATATATATATTCAGTTTTTTCTTTTGGCCTCAGTTCAATATTTTCTAATCTAATTTAACATAACTTTACAAACAAGTCCTCATATATGAGGGCACAAAAGTGACACACAAGACAAATAAATAAATGAATGAATAAATGAGCATGATACATTAAAAATAAAGAAATCAGATTGCCTGATAAAAATGTAGAAGTAAATGAAAATAGAAATAAATAAACAAGTAAATGTTGAAATAAATATATGCACATATACAGAAAAATATTACTTTTTTTATTGCCATTGCCAATTATTTATTATTTTTGGCAAAGGAAATATATTTATTAATATATCATTAGTTAATAATTTATTTCTCATGCCACATTTGGGCTCCCAGACTTATAGGATAGGGCATTACTGTGAAAAACCAACTGTAAGATAATGTATAATTCAATTTAATTCAATTTTTATTATATAGCGTCATGTCTTGACCGTCCTCCTTATGAAATTTAAAAGCTCACAAGGCATACTTTCATACTGTCTCAAGGACTCGGTCATTACAGCACTTACAATTTCTTTCTCTGCGTAAGCTCTACCTAAAGAAAACTTTGAAAAAAGGATCCAAAGCGATTAAAGTGATCCACTGCCAGTTGAGGTATCAGTGGAAGTAAAAGCCATATGCATTCCTTTCACACTCTTTCACAGAGAGTGATGCAAGGCAGACAAGCAGCTCCAGCTATTGTCTCCTAAAGCCCTGCAAATCTGCCTGAGTCCCCCACTGGCAGCGGCTGACTGGATTTCTGCGCCTGTGACAAGCAAGTGACAGATCACCGCCAAGGGGGGAGAAATCTGTCCATAGAATAATATAGTATGACAGTCTCTCTGTGGAATACATCTCGTGGCTCATACAACAATCACAGCAACTAGGTTTCATCACAGCATACTGTCTGAGTTAAAATCAACCAACTATACACACTTAGGCCTACACGGGGGTATGGGGTGACTGGACTGTAGGATGAAGCACATTAAAAGGAGGAAAATATAAAAACTCTGCCATTTAAAGCTAGGATGATCTTTCTATGAGGTGACAGTAGCAACCAACCCACTGTGTCGCCACATCAACCAAAAAATCAATCAATACACAAATTAATTACAATTATTTTCATTTCCCTAAAAGTCAACTATTTGTGTTTTTCCCTGTCATTTTGGGGAAATAAGGCTGTTTGCTTTCTTGCCGGGGGTTAGATGAGAAGATCGATTATCAATTTTATCTCTGTGTGTTCAGTGGAGATGAAATATGTGTTTAGCTTAGCTTATCACAAAGTCTGGAAACAGGGAGAAACAACATACAAGCTGCATGACAACAACTTCACTTAATCATTTTTACATCCCCGAAAAACAATTACGTTCATTATTGAATAATCTGTCATTATTTCCTTGATTAACTGTTTTGTCTATAAAATCTCAGAAAATTGTAAGAAAAAAAATGTCCCAAAGAAGTTTAATATCATAGAAAATGAAGAAAAACTAGTAATGATTAAACATTCACAAATCAACAAATCATTTGATTTACTAATCTTTTCAGCTCTATTTGCATGGTGTATATATCTGTTAAGAGCAATTAGAAAATGGATTGAAGCTTTTTTTTATCTTGGTCTCATGGTCGCACTGCAGTGGAAGTGCTAAATATAACCATGTGAAGTTGTTCTTTTACCTTAACTTGTACATTGTCCTATAACTCTGAATAGAACTCAGGTGATAGTTGGATTTAGTGGTGGCTAGTTTGCTGGCAAAGAAGACACAACATGTTAACAGATTGGGTTTAAAATTGAGAAACAGTAGTTCACAAAACAATCTCACCACACGGTCCCCTCAGCAGCTGTTGTGGAGCTTTCGATCCTATCACGCTACTGTTTCCACAGTCAAGAATGAAGTTTCAATCTCAACTTTCAAGGAAAAATGAAAAAAACTTCCAGTGCTCTGAAATGAAACAAACATCTATGATTCCACGACAACTGGGCCACTCTATCTGCTGACAAAGATCACACGCTATGATCGAAAGCTCCAGAACAGCTACTGAATGGACCTCTGTGGTGAGATTGCTTTGTTAGTTTTAGAGTTCTAGGAAGAGTGTATTTTTCCTCCTTTTTTGAACGCCTCCTGCCTCTGCCTTTTGTGCTAAGCCACAGGTACTGCAGGCTAAAAATATCCCCGACCAATATCTTCTCTGAATGCTGAGAGAGGAAACCGATATCAATCTAACTCCAAGGAAGACAGCGAAAAAAGCATATTTCCCAAAATGTCAGGATATCCCTTTGAACTGAGCAATCAAAGATATTTATTAGGGGTATATGCTTCATCCTCTAGTTATTTCAACACTGCCGACTTGCTTTCTATTAGGAGTAAAATGTTTAAATGTCCATCTGCCAGCCTGTAGCCCTCCAGTTTCTGGCTCCCTGTAGACCTCCAGAGCCGCTGCGGGTGCATTCCTAATGCCATTACTATCTGAAGGACAGCTTAACAAAGACATATCAAATCCTGCTTGACTGATTTTTGCATTTCGTTCACTCTCAATTACAAGCATATGTCACAAGCCCAAGACTGGCGCCTGTTTCATTGTGAACTTTTTCAACTCCCACAGCAAAGTCTATGACCAGACGAGCATCCATATTTAGCAGGCTAGCTCAGCCAGACACTTTGTGAGCCCAATTATTCATCCTTGCTGGCTGGGGATTCTCCCTGCTAACTGTTGCATATTTACTTTACTGATTACTATCTGATCCTGATCCGCAATAGTAAAGCATACAGCAGGTTAAGTGTGAGGATAGCAACGGAGCCCTCTCTAACAATAGAAATGTCCTTTTTTGACTAAAGCACCAGGATACAGAGTATACATTAGGTATACAATATATAAGCAAGATAAGATATCAATTAAAATGCTCAGTCTTGCCTTCAGTGCTTAATTATTTTTACATAGACTGAAGCTAAATTTACACACATGATAAAGCTGATGAGAATATTGTGTTTGTCAACTGATTATAAGTAAAAAGATAATTTTGTTTGAAACAAACAAATTTAGATTTAGTTTGTGAAAACCTGTCAACCAATTTGAGTAATAGCAAACTGACTGTAAAATTAGTTTTTTTTTTACAAATGTGTTTTTTATTTAACCTTTATTTAGACAGGTAATATCATTGAGACTCTCAATTTCCAATGAAGTGACAGAATCCAATTATCATGCATTATGCAAAAAGCAACAATAGTGTCATCAGAGGGACTCACCATGTTGAGTTTGAGCTCCATGTTGAGGACTCCTCCACTGTCTAAAACAGGCATCAGGTTGATGGCGAACACAGCGGCTCTGTCAGGTGGTATCGATATATTTGGACCAAAGAAGACGTAGAAGTGAACGGAGAAGGTGTCCAGCTCATTGCGCAGAGTCGGACGGATGGGCCAGCACTTGTTAGTGTCGGTAGTGGGGGCGAGGTAAATGATGCTGTCTTCCGAGGTGTGCAGGTGACTGGCATTCAGCAACGGGCTGGGCAGGGCCGCCATTGACAGCGTCTCAGACAGGGAGAAACCCATTGCCGTTCCAAAAGACTGAGGCATGTTCATAGAGGAGCTGGGCTGTGCTTGGTCCTTTGACAAATTGGTCTTGGAGCAATCTGGTCAGAGGAGGAAGACATCAAATCACAGAGGAAATCAATCAAACTGATTCCTGTATGAGCTCAACATTCTGGTGGATTTTCACTGGCTTGTTGCAGATGGTTTTAAAAATGCACCTTGCAACATCTAGTGCAATGTTATAATCCCTATCATGAAATAAATCAGTGTCTTTGAATGCACAATGAAGAACCAATCCCCGGCAAATCTCAAACAAACAGGCATAACCAAGTCAGTTATTTTACTTGCGTTACTATGCATGCTAAGCAACCAAGTCTTTTGCAAATGTTTGAAATGATCCCCTTCGGCTGGCTTCCATAATGTAAACAGCCAGGTTCGGCACTGTACACTGCTTTTTAATGAGACAAAGATTCACAGTAATTGCAAACAGTATGCTTTCACTCAACACAAAGCAACTCACTGCAAAATGGTCATTGATGGCAACTGGCAAAGTACCATCAAATACCACCAATCCCCAAGGGAAAAGGATTTCAAAGGCTTTTCTAGCTCAGCCTCGTTTGCATAGTGTTGTCTCTGAAAGGGTTTGAAGTATTTTGATGTCCGTTCAGGCAACTGAAGCACTCCTAAAAATACTGAAATACCAAATACTGTTGGCTCAAGGCAAGTGTAACTTCAGTAGAAACAAGACAATCTGTGTAAAATCATTAAAGACCCAAATATATAGCACATATTTATGTATGTATATGTGTAGGTGGGTGGGAGTGGAGGGGCTGTAAAAACATACAGTACCATTTCATAACACTTATAATCCAAAGAACTGGCTTCATTTTGCTTTCATATACAGCGTAAAACATAAACTCTCTTCAATGCCCGATGATCTATTGAGGCCAAGACACCTGCAGTGAAAATACTGTATAAACAACAATAATAAATAATAAAGTGCAACCCAGTTTCAACGCTTCCTGCGTAGCCAGTGACCGTGATGCCTTGAAATTGGACTGAATTCAAATAAGGGCAAATTATATTTCTAAGACAGCTCATAACAACAATAACAATAACAGCGAGAAAGCATGAGAAGGTGAGGACTCCAGATGGTCCCTGAACCTGAGGTGTTCTTCAATTTAAATCCACAAAAGGTCAAGTAAGATCTGCCTGGCAGGCAGGGGGAAGGAACAGAGTGTGAATAATTAGTGTCTGTGTTGCCATGGTGACAAAGTGCACTGTATAGTGTCCAACAGAGGGAGGGGATCGCTACATGGGAGTAGACTTCCCACAGATTTGTGAGCCATCCCTGTGGAGTGAGCAAAAAGAATATCTCAGCTCTGCACAACCCCAAAACAGCATGTAGCACTTAACCGTGGTATCACTGGCCTCTTAGGAATCCCATACGAATCACCTCTGTTTGGGCTCCGTTCTTTTCTTGTACAAGCCTCTTAATGGTCCGACTGTGTCTGGCCTTCCTTTTCCCATCAAAACACATGTCCAGAATTACATTTTCTGCCCCACATATCTGTAAGAGGCACGAGCAGCATGGACACGCTTCAAAAAACGTGGAGATTTTTGCTTTCATACAGGGACAAAATTACACCTAAGAATTGGTTCTTTTTAAAGAGCACCTGTGCAAATTGAAAGCCACCATCTTTTATATTTGGACTGTATTATTTTACTGGAAATGATATGCTGCAGAGATCTACTTTGAGCTTTTGTTTGGCCTAATTTATGAGTTTTCAGGTTTATAGAAGCCATTCCAGTACCGTCTTAAATTACACATCAAAAGCAGCAGGAAGAAAAATTATGCTGGAACGCTGGAAGCAAACAGCTCACAGATTGTGGCGATGAACACAATTTATTAGAAATCCAACACATTACTTCTAATCATCAAATAATCATTAAATAATTTTGTTTACTTGGCAAAATTGGCAAACTACTCTCATTTACGAAACTGTGTGAAAAAACCTGATGGGACTTACTGTGACATTAAGACAATAAGCAAGAATACCAATGTGCTCAAATGTCATTACTATGATATAATAACTCTGCTATAAATTAAGAAGGCATATTGCTGCGTCATTTTAGGAGGAAAAAAATACAATAAGCTCCAAGGCAACTGAAAAACACAACAAGCCAGAAATAAAATGCATACGATTAAAAAGAAACCCTGAACAGTCATCAATCACATGTTGCCTGTAAAACAAACTCACCTGTGACCTGCACCCCAATTCGGAAGTAAACGTTGCAGTTGGTGAGATATCTCTCCACCAGGATGTAGTACCATTGTTCCCAGGCAGGTACGAGGGTGTCTAATTCACAAGGGTTCCACTCCCTGCAGTCAAGGGCACTTGAGTTATGCACCGGCGGCGCCCGCGCTCTTATCTTCAGCACCACAGGACAACTCTCGCTACTCTTGTTCTTGGTGCTGCAGTTTACCAGCTGAACCTTGACCTTTGATGTATAATTGGGGATGAACACCCTGCACAAGCACACACACACACAGAGACAAAAACACACACATACACAGACACTTGTTTTATACGATAATTCCACTATGGCTATACACTATATCAGACAGCAAAATGTTAAATAAATAACATTTAAGTTTAATGTCAGTTTCATTTGAATGAATGGTCTTTTGGTCATTTTGCATGTCCTCTAATATCAATTCTGGTTCTTCTTCGTCTAAAAAGCATATAATTGTCATGCATACACACATCCAACAATGTACTATGGGCCTCAATAAACTGTATATATAATATTTAAATAATAAATTAAAAATATAAATACCCTTCACATAATTTTGTTTATGCATAACTCACAGAAAATTGAATCTCTTTCCTTTAGGCACCTTCAAAAGAGCATGAGACAATGAATCATAAACCTAGAAATGAATTAATATTGCTCTGCTCACATAACTGAGATGACTTTTAGAGAAGGGGAAGTTAATAAAGGAGCTCAGACTATAAGCACACATTTTTAAATTGCATATTTTTACAATGAAAACGCAAGATAAGCTTATAGAAAACATTCTAGAAAAATCATAACAGATGAAACAGTAGAAAAGGGAGGTAGAGTGTGTATTTTTTTCTGAGATAAGTCCGTAATTTTAAAGCCAACTCGTCCTGACTTTTGGTTTTTGGAAGCTCAGCTAGAAGACTTACTTATAAAGTGCAGATCTATTATGGACGGGGATCATCTGGTCGATGAAGTATCCAGGATAAAGCACTGAAATCCCAATTAGCCTCTGGACAATGAGCTGAGGTTGGAACAGATACTGGCACTCTTCAGAGAGACCCTACGAAGATAAAACAGCAGTGGTTTAGATGATATTTTAGTGGTTAACTCGCCAATATTTCTTAAAAGCTGGAAAAGAGGAGATTAGATATCATTCAGACTGGCTGAAAATTCCTAATGGACTGTGTGCATAAAGCCTGTCACCCTCCTGGATTAATAACACTCTGTCCTCCCTCTGCCTGCCACACAGCGTAACATGCACCCGCTATTTCACTCATGTTGTTCTGAACCATTAATGCTTGATGTGCATTACTCTGTGAGATGAGCCGAGCAGACAGAATGACTGAGAGCCAGAAGGCCGTGCATTGTTTCTACACATGATCTGCTGTGAAATTTGTTTTAAAAAGGACTGGGGGCCTTTTTCACCTGACTCAAAAGGACAGGTGTGAATGCCAAATGAGGTCCTTCATTTCTGTCAACCAGTCACTAACCTCTCCTGCTCAAGTCACAATTACTGTGGCATGTGGCATTAGTCCGGGAGCTGCTGAGGTGACCTTTTGATTTATTACAGCCTGTCAGATGGACCTGCACATGTGTCTTGTAGAGCAAGTTGTGTTTTAATTAAGGCTCAACCAATATGGGTTTTTGAAGCCCAGTGTTTTTACACTAATGTAGACAGCTTTTGATGGTGCTCAATAGCTTTAAATTTGACCATTTTCATGCCAAAAAAGATACAGGCATTAATATATTTTCTGCAGAATTTCTTGGCAGGATGTTAAAGCTTCTAAAAATCAATTTAGGCCATAGAGCACTAAAACCCCCCATTGAAACCCTGACTAATTGCATTATTTTACCTCCTTCAGACTGAATGACCCACTGAGAAAATGCAATTTTGGGGAAAAACTCTGGGGTATACACTCAGTTTCCAGTTTATTAGGTACACCTGAGCAATGTAGTGCAATCCACCGCAATAGTGCTGCAATGATTTCAACCTTTTACAGCCTTATTGAACTCTAAGGTCATTTTTAAATCTGTTAGTGGTGTTGCATTGAACTGCATTATATATGTGTGTGTGTATTATAT